TACTACGCTCCTGGTACGCCCCAATGCCCCCAGCATTGGAATTGAAAAGAAACAGAATCAAACTTTTAAAAAAAAAAACTCGCCTCTCGCCAGAAACGGTGCTCTGTGGGCATCTGGATGATGTGGAGCTCACGTTCGAGGCGCCCATCGTCTCCATCAGCCTCGGCCTGTCCGCCATTTTCCTGTACGGCCTGGCCCTCCCTCTTTCCAGTCATATACGCCCACCACCACACATTGATGCGTGCGCCTGGCCTGAACATGGCAGGTTGGGCGGACGAACACGGGAGGAGAAGCCGCGAGCGATGCTGCTACGCTCGGGGGACGTGGTGGTCATGGGCGGCGCGTCGCGGCTCCTCTACCACGGCGTGCCTCGCATCCTCCCCGCCACCCTCCCGCCAGAACTCGCGCACCACCGCCTCGCGGGCACGGAGCCACACCTGGCCCATGTGGTGGACTACCTGAGCAAGCGACGCATCAACATCAACGCGCGCCAGGTGCTGCCGACGGGCTGCGACTTCCCATCAACGGCAGCATCCCCAGAAAAAGGCGAGCTGGCATGCTGAGGCTAAGGTGGTTAACACGTCAAGTTCAGAGAAGAGACTGGCCGGTCTTGGCATCGACGACGCGAGCGAAATACTTGGGATGCAGCACGCCCTCCACACCAGGAGAGAGGATGACGCCGTTGGCCGACTCCACGAACTCGACGCCCTCTGCGAAACAGTAAACAAGGCGCCTAAGTACTGGGGATGCGCAGGCACGTTGAGCGCAAGCACATGCGTTACCTTCGAGTGCCAGGGTGAGGTTGATGTAGATGAGCACCTGGCAAGTCTGGCGCATTCCTGATCGTCGGTCGACACAACCATGCATGAGCAATCAGAGGTATGCCGTGTGTGCCGTGTGAAAGTAAAAGGTACCGCTGATGACGTCGGCGGAGCCGTATTCGCCCTTGGCAAAGTGGATGTGCGTTCGGCCCATCTTGCTGAGACCCGTCCTCTTGATGTTGATCCACGACTCGTGGTATGTTCCATGTACCACCTGCGTCACCGCCGTACGCCCGTGAGACCTACGCGACCATGAAAAGGCTTTCGTGATAGAAAGTGCTGGTGCGTACCGTGGGGTAGTGCGACGCGTCGGTGATCGTCTTGAAATCCAATTCCGTCAGCTGTCGTCGCACACGCACCACCGCACACGACGCAACAAGAAAACGTTAAGTTCAACTCTCGCGAGTAGACGGTGTGTGCGTGCGTGCGTGGACGTACGCCGGGGATGGAGTGGCCCTGGTTGGCGCGGATGTAGAGGCCGTCCTGTCGCTCTTCGAGCGCATAGCGCTGCTTGTCGGAAGAGGCCACCAGACGCTTGATGTCCTCCACCGTACAGCCCTGTTGCTTGCGCCAGTCAGCTGCCGCCCACGCCACGGTTCAAAGAAGAAGAAGCAGAAGAGCAGCGAGAAGGCGTATATGCCTTGAATTTGGGACGGGCGAGTAGGAGGTCGAGCTTGATGAAGGCGTCGGGTCCGATGGGCAACCGCTCCTTGATCGCGCCATGTCGCAGCACGTAGGAGAGGGCCTTCGACAGCTGCACGTCCTTACTGCCCACGTTTAACTGTCAGATTTCTTCATATCATTTTGCAAAAAATATCTTATTGATGTCCAGAGCGTGAGGAGAGGGAACCTGTCTCCACCTCGACCACTCCTTCCGCCTCTGTGCTCTCGCTCCATTGTAAAGTGTGTGCAGATGAAGAGCGGCCTTTCTGGTTTTTTCTTCTTTTTTCCCGGCCGAAGACGCAGTGGCTGAAAGAATGCGAATTCTTGGCATAGTTTGAAGCACATAGGAATGCAAGAACGGAACTCAAACAATATTGATTTATCATTTGTTTCAAGCTTGAATTCGCACAAGTACGATGTCGACCAGCCCTGCGAAGGCGAGTCTCGGGGCCAGCCTCAACCTTTCCGTTGTGGTGCGCTCTTTGTCTCCTTTATTCGGATCGAGAAGTCAATTTTACTTTCGAAACTCATTGATTAAAGAAAGAAAAAGAATGTAATTAGTACTTAAAAGGGGTCTTCAGGACGGGCAGGGGAAGAGCATGATGGTGCTACAACACCGCCGCAGGAAGTCATCGACGCGCCACCGAAACGCGCGTTTGCTGGACTCCACGGAGGCTGCCCTCAGCTCGGGCAACGAAGACAGCGACGAGGACGAGGACGAGAACGAACCCATCAGCCAAGGTTCTTTCCGCTTCATGCCGTACACACCACACGCACTTGCTCGGCCTCGCTCATTGCTGGGGGTGCGCAGAAGAACCGGAGGGGCTGGCGTCGTTGTTTGTCGAAGTCAACGAGAAAGCCAGAGAGGTGCGAGGTCTCCCCCGCGCGCAGGCTTGATTGAA